AGCAATCTGCGCTCTCCTCTCTGAGCTGCCCGACATAATCCAGGAGGCTGCTAACACAAATGGGTGGCTGTGGCTGAATGGTTAGATCAGTCTTACATCGGGGAAACTAAACAGCCACTGGCCAAAAGGATGGCCCAGCACAGAAGATCAACATCATCAGGCCAGGATTCTGCGGATCTCCAGGCCAGCAGTCACTCTTTCAAGGATGAAGATGTTCACATCCTGGACAGAGAGGAACGATGGTTTGAGAGAGGAGTAAAGGAGGCCATCTTTGTGAAAAGAAATTGTCCATCATTAAACAGGGGTGGAGGCCTCCGGGTTCAACTGTCCCCCTCTTACAATGCTGTGATTGCTAGTATCACTCAGCCCTCTGTGAGTAGTAAAGAGCCATCAGTGTGCTAATGACCCATTGTTAGGCTGATGGTCCTTCTTGAGCATGTGATCAGCTGGTTTTGGTTGTCAGCAGCAAACTGGTCGATCCACTCTGAGATGGTGCTATTTAAGAGACTGAGCTGAAAACAGCACCTCAGACTGAGGAAGTCTCTTGGATGAGAGACGAAACGTTTCTAGATTTTTTTGCTTTGTTTTGTTTTTTGTTTTTTTGAATGTCCAGAGGACCAGATTGAACTTTTTTGGATTTTTCTACCTGGATTATTGAGCATGCATCAGGAAATTTACGAGCTCTTACTGTTTCCAGCTGCTGCTGTGTGAGGATGAGCTTTACCTTAGCCAGCTGTCTGAGGTGATAAAAACTGGTCTTGATCACCGCTCCAATCTGGGAATCTAATTTAAAATCACTGTCCATTTTAAAACCCAAATTAGAAACTGTTTTCTTTACATGTGGTGCCAGACAACCCAGATCAACAGGGCAAGGTTCATAAGAGCCACTAGGACCAAACACCATCACTTCTGTTTTCTTTTCATTAAAATTTAAGAAGTTTAAAGGCATCCAGGCTTTGATGTCTTCAAGGCACAACAGAAGTTGCCTGATTGAGGGGGCATCTTTCTTTTTTAGTGACTTATAGATCTGACTATCATCAGCATAACAGTGAAAAAAGATCCCATGCTTTCTAAGGATTGATCCCAATGGAAGCAGGTAAAGGGAGAAAAGCAGGGGACCTAAAAGCTTGTGATCCCTGTGGAACCCCAAAACACAGAGGAGCAGTGGAGGATTCAGAACCAACTATGTCGACTGACATGGTTCTTCTGTCTGCCAGAAAGGACCTAAACCAGCTCAGTGCAGTACCACAAATACCCACTTGGTGCTGTAAGCGTGATATTAAAATGTTATGGTCCACGGTATCAAAGGCAGCGGTTAGGTCGAGCAGGACAAGAACCACATGTTCACCAGAATCCTTGGCCATAAGAATATCATTAAAAACTCTGACTAGAGCTGATTCTGTGATGTGGCGAGTTTTGAAGCCAGACTGAAAAGCCTCCAGGATATTGTGCTTATCCAGAAAACATTTAACCTGTGAATATACATTTTTTTCTAAAATTTTTGAAATAAAAGGCAGTTTGAAGATGGGCCTAAAATTAGCCAAGACAGTTTGGTCTAGACTTTTTAAGCAGGGGCTGCACCACAGCATGTTTAAAACCTATTTGGACAACACCTGAGGACAGACTGCTATTGATAACAGCAAGGATCAACTGCCTGATGCTGGAAAACACCTCTTTTAAAAGACGAGGGGGGGCAAGGTCATGAGGGGAACTTGATAGCTTAATATGACTGACCACATCCTCTAAAAGGGTCAGAGTCACTGGTTCAAATCTATCGAACACAGCCAGGCAGGGGACCAAGCAGGAGGGGTCAAAAGCAGGGGCTGAAATAAGGGCCCTTGTGGTAACAATCTTATTTATAAAAAACTGCAGGAAGTCATTACAGAGTTCAGTAGAGTTTTCCAGATAAACAGGTTGTGGGGCCTTCAGGACAGAGTCAATAGTTTAAAAAATGACACATGGATTATTATGATTGGACACAATAATGTCTGACAAGTGTTGTTTTTTCAATTCAATTCAGTTTATTTATATAACGCCAAATCACAACAAAGTTGTCTCAGGGTACTTTACAGGAACATTTACATACATAAAAGCCAATTTTTTTTTATTTAATTTTTTTTTTAAAGTAAAGATCTCTATCTAAGGAATCCAGCAGACAAGTTGAATCTTGGCTTTGTTGCAGTCTCCCATCCTGAGCAAGCACAGTGGCAACAGTGGAAAGAAAAAACTCCCTTTTAAAAGTGTAGCAGTATAGAAATGTACCCAGTTAAGGAAATATCACTTCCTGTTAGATCAGTGGGTGGAGTATAAAAGGAGGCAGCAATGCCTGTTCTGGCACTTGATTTCCTCTTCCTGCTCCCATTACGTGGCTCTCAAACCGTATGGGGTTTGGTTGTGGCTGAGCAGCAGATCGTGTTATGCATGCTGTTCTGGCTTTCATGGGATGAAGGCCAAGCTTGCTGCTGTCCTCCTCCTCCTCCTCCTGGGTCTGTGCATGTCTGCATGTGTCTGTGTCAGCAGGTCCTTGGCTGAAGTTGGGATCACTGCTGCTTTGTCTCTACGGAAAATCACTGTTTTGTCTCTATGGAAGATCACTGTTTTGTCTCCACTGAGGTTACAACCGTTGTCCCTGTGGAAGATTACCAGTGTTCTGGCTCTGTGAAGGACCACTGCTGTTTGGGCTCTCCAGATTGTTGCACTTAATTGTCATCAGATGCCTGTGGCTGCTTCACTGGACTTCTCCACCACAAATTGTTTGGGGCACGGTCCCTGAGCACTCAAGTCAGTGGCGTGGGTAATTAGCCACACACCTGGTTCTGGACTACAACTTTTAAAAAGAGTATTTATAAAATGTAAATGAAGAAACTTTTCTAAATCTGCAAGCCTGTCTCAGATGTCACAAGTATTTTCGTAAGACCTATGAACCGGTGTGCCTTGTAAATCGCATAATTTTAATGAAAACCACTTGGTACCACCACATTTTTGGCGTTGTTGGTAGGTACTTTTGTGAACATCTGAGACGGATATTATTTTGGCTTTGTTATATTTGTATATTTTTCTGGTGTTAACTGTTATTTGTGTGCATATTAGACTGCCCGGAGACAGAGCAGCAGTGGTTCCATGCAGATCTTCACAAGTGTTTGGTGAGGTGGTTAAAGTTTTAGTCTCAGGGTGCTTTCTGCACTGTAGTAATCACAGGTAGCAGAGTAAGCTTGTGGCAATTATGGAGGAAGAAATAAAGGAACTCAGAGTTAGTGGCAAGTTTTTAAAGGCTGACAATGAACAGCTGCGACAAGGACAGGCCGGTCCAAGTGCTCTGCCATCCACTTCTTTATCATTACCTGATGCCCCTTCCACACCCAGTCTCCCTGTATCAGAGAGATTAATTTTTGTGCCTAGAGATAGGAAGTGTCCATCTTTAGAGGAAGGATGGGCATAGGGTTGAGTGAGTGGATGAAGTAAGTGTGGATGAGAGCCTGGGAGGCCAGGTATGAAATAAAGTATTGCTCTAGTGCAGAAACAGAGATACTTGAGATTTTATAGGAATTCTATTGTTGTTGTATGTTGCTCTTCAGGAGGCATTCTTTTCCGGAGGACAGCCAGAGGGAGAGAGAGTCTTCAGGAGCTCTCCCACACATTGATGGGTCTTATGGAAAGAGTGAAGCAGCATGAACCTGCTGAGATGTCAAATGCTGGGACTCTGTTAAGAGATCAGTTTGTTGAGCAAGTGTTCGATAGTTTCCTGCAACACTAATTAAAGTTGTGGCATCATGAAAATTGTGGCTGCCAAGTGTTCTGAGTACTACTGAGTTCTACTGCTCTGTTTGGACCTTTGGACTCTAGGGCGGCTGTGGCTGAGTGGTTAGAGCAGTCGTCCTTCAATGCGAGAGTTGGAGGTTCGAATCCACCAGCAGTCACATGTCGAAGTGTCCCTGGGCAAGACACTGAACCCCTCATAGCCTCTGATGTGTGTCCCATCAGTGTATGAATGTGATCTAAAGCACTGATTAGTCTCTTTAGAATGATTTGTTCAATTAGCTTTGTAGAGATCTAGTAAAGTGCTGCATGAATTGGTAAATGAGGCACAGATTATAGTGTAAAGCACTTTGAGTATCTTGAAATAAGATGGAAAGGCGCTATATAAGTACAGTCCATTTTCCATTTAGGTTGCTGTAATCAGGGGTACAGCCGACATGCTCGTCATTAGTGTCGGATCGACTGAGATGGTGCTATACCCCCATACAGTTGTGGGCATATTGAATGTTAAAGTTGTTGGTCTCCCTTCAGGGGTTGCTGAGGTTTCAGCTTTGTTTAGACCTTGGAATTGATAATATTAGTTTGAATTTTGACTCGTCCATCGTCGGGTCGACGATGCAAGAAGGTGGGGTAGAATGTAGCCGTATAGAAATGTACCCAGCTAGGGAAATGTCACTTCCTGTTAGATAAGTGGGCGGAGTATAAAAGGAGGCAGCAATGCCTGTTCTGGCACTTGGTTTCCTCTTCCTGCTCCCACTACGTGGCTCTCAAACTGTGTGGGGTTTGGTTGTGGCTGAGCAGCAGATCGTGTTATGCGTACTGTTCTGGCTTTCAGAGTCAGAGTCAGAGTCAGAGTTTCTTTATTGTCATTCGCACCTCATGTGGTACATGTGGTGGAGCGAAATTATGTACACAGGGTCCCAGTTACATCCAACAATAAAATGTATAAGAAAAACAGTAATAACATCTAAGATATGAACTAAGAAAAACATCAACTAAATATACACTAAGCACTCATAACATAAAACATTGAACATCAGCACAAACATGAACATGAGTCTGTGAGCAGATGTGC